CCACGCCCTCAGATTACAAGGCAGGCTTGTGATCCTTAAAGTTATGGGCCTTATCGGTGATTTACACGTGTTACTATTGAAATTGTGAGAACAGGGAACTGTCCCAACCGACTGGAGCCGCTTCGCTATTGTCCCGGTCTTCAAGGGAGGCTCAAGCTCGGAGTGCGTCAACCATAGAAAAATCAGTCTGCTTTCCATTCCCATTAAGTTACTTACCTCTGTCATTCTTCACAGACTGACTGGCACTCGTAAAGGCCATACTCGTGAGAAACAAGCTGGGTTTCGTTGAATACTCGGCTGCATCGATCACATCTTCACTTTGCGTCAATTGTTGAAACACCGTCACATATATCGGCGGCCCACCGTTGTTGCGTTCCTCAACAACAAATGTGCCTTCGATTCGGTGGGTCGATATGTTCTTTGGGACTGTCTACTAAGGAAAGGTGTGCTCGAGGAATATGTAAACACTATCCGAGCGCTTTACGCGCGTAGCTCGGGCAGAGTGAGGGCTTACGGCAAACGGTCGCAGCCCTTCAATGTCGCCGGCGGTGTAAGACAGAGATGCTCGTTGTTATCTTTCCTCTTCAACTTCGCTATTAATGAAGTCATGGAATAGCACCGGACACGACTTAGGTGTGGAGCTGTTCCCACGGGAACGACTTCTTGACTTGCTGCATGCTGACGACATTGCCCTCATCTGTGACGACTCACAAACGTGCCAGGCAGCAATAGCCAGATTAGCAGTGGCTGTCAACCGCTTCGGGCTTTGCTTTGCACCCTCCTAGTGCAAAGCTTTCCTCCAAGGTTGGCAGGGACGTACCCTTGCGCTGACCCTTTGTGGAGATCAGCTAGAAGTCGTTTGGAAATTCGACTACCTATGCAGTTGAATTGTCGCCAGTGGATTCGAAGACGAGGTCACCAACTGTATAGCAAAGGCTCGAGACGCTTTTGTTAACGTTCGTCACCTATGGCATCGGTGTGACATCACTCACTTCTTGTAGGGTAGGGTTCACCATGCAGCCGGATGTTCAACCCTACTCTGCGGTTGTGAAACTCGACCTGTTTGATCGGCAGACGTAAAGAGGCTAGTTGCGTTCGATCACCAGTGCCTTCACAGATTGACTCATTTCTGGTGGGAACACTACGTGAGCATTGAGTGTGTTCGGCGCCTTGTTTATGACACAGGTGGAGGAAGTGAACCGCTCAGCACCGTCATTTCACGCGCCAGGCTCCGATGGTTGGGCCACCTGTCGCGCATGCCAGCCCACCGACTCCCGCGACATGCGTTGTTTACGCGCCGGCGGTGTGGATGGACGAAGTAAAGGGGCGGCCAAGTGATGACTTACTCGACAGGAATGAAGTCCCTCACTTCGAAGTTGGCCAATTGGAGCCTCTAGGCTCCCTGCTGAACACGTTTGGCTGGATACGCTTATCGACATGGCTAAGAGCCGACTTCAGTAGTATTTGTGTTGTGAGTTTCTTTTTCCCTTTCTCTCCAACCACGATCTCATTTTGAACACATAACTTGTTTACGGATTTGCCGTAGGATGTCCATCTGTTATTGGTAGCTCAGCGGGTGTGCCTTTGTTGTGCCTTTTATTCCTTTCTCTTGTATTGCGGCACAATAGCTGAGGTGCTTTTCGCCTCTAGCTAACATATATAATGATGATCACTTCTTGAATTGGAGTATGCTGACGATATTGCTCTTATCTGTGGCAGCGCCCAAACGTGCCAAGCTGCACTGGACAAATTAGCATTGGTTATCAATTATTTTGCTTTTGTTTCGCTCCCTCGAAATGCAAAGTCCTCCAAGGTTGACATGGACCTACCCTTGAGCTGACCCTTATTGATGATCAGCTAGAAGTCTTTCGGGCATTCAATTACCTGAGCAGCTATATTAGCGCCCGTGGGATCGAAGATGAGGTTACAAACCGTATAGCAGAAGCCCGAGGTCCTTCTGCCAATCCCCGCCACCACTGGCACCGCTGCGACATTACTGTCACCCTGAAGGACAGAGTTTACAGTACAGTCTTCCGCTCAGCCCTTTTATACGGTTTTGAAATTTTGTCCAGGTCGACAGATATAAAGAGGCTAGCTACGTTCCACCATCATTACCTACACACCGCGTAAGCAATGAATGTGTTCGGCTTCGCGTATTTTGTACAAGAAGCGCGAGTGAACTGCTCAGCACCATTGTACCACGCACCAGGCTCCGATGGCTGGGTCACGTGTTGCGCAATCTAGCATACCGGCTCCCGCGACGTGCGTTGTTTTCGCAGCCGACGTCTAGGTGGAAGAGGAGGATGGGAGGCCAAGCGATGATTTGGTCGAGAAAAATGAATACCCTCACTTTGGGGTTGTAATCGGTTGCGGTATCCCGACTGTCCGGCTGGAGCCCCCAGGACGATGAACACGTTTGGTTGGATATGGTGAAGTGCCGGCCTCAGTGGCAATTGTGTTATCAGTTTCTTTGTTCGTCCCCCCTCCTTTGGATTCCCTCTCCAATCATGATCTCATAGCGAATGCACAGTGTGATATTTAGCAATATATTACTCGAATTTTTTGCGGTCAGCAACTTTTAGTATCTCATCTCTTTTGTATTGCAGCACATTAGCTGAGGTGTGTTTCCCACTCTCTGTTTGATTGCTTGAGTCGCTCATCGCCATCTTTACTTTGCGCTCGTTTCGATCGCAACGTGCGATCACTCTGTGTGCTGTGTCCTCTTCATTCTCCTAGTTAGCAGGGTTCAATAGTGTCGGTTTTTTATAACTAGGCAAACAGGGAACCTTTTACTGTACAGATAAAGTTTCCCTACAACTAGATGTCTTTTGTAGTCAATATGCGGGCTCTCACAGAAACTTTATTTCGCGCGTTTTGTTTTTTCCATTTCCGGTGTTAACTGGTTGATATTGTTGTAACGCTTCTACTTTACTTCTGCTCTCTGCCGCTGACGACTGTTGTACTGTTGCTAGCTGCCCTATGAGACTGCGACTCTCTGACTTCTCAGTCACGCGCCAACCCAACCGACGGAATACAGAAGACCAAGGCTTGGTAAACAGGGAGTCTATCTACACCATAAGTTAACTGTACTTATAGGTAGCCGAAACATGCTAATTTAGGAGGTGAAGATCGCTCATTTTTGTGCGTCCGGTTTTCAGCCAGTGTGAGTGAGTTCCTCTCCACGGGTTAATCATATTGACGGTATAGTTCGATTCGTTTTACTCGGACTGGTAATTGCTGGCCGATCAATTCTCAGTCGATACCCAACTTTAGCTCCGCTTACATCTCTATTAGATATCCTCTAACTTACACTTGCCCAAGATTATGTTTACACTATGTCCCACTTTATACGTCTTTTGTTGATTTGCTCTGTTATGTTATGCTGCGGCACATTTACTGTCCATTTTGCGTGTGTATTTTCTTTCATATTCAGTGTTTGCTTTGTGATATCTCCTGTGTGGTCGTGCTTGATGTGAATGTTTACAAGGTGCCTACCCGTCGAAAAGCCGCCACTTCGATTATACTGGTTCCATGCAACAGTTGGTCGTTGCTTGGGGAGACGGGGTGCACGGTCCTCGAGTCTGCATAAGGGCAGGGCGACCTTAGCAGTATCCTTAGCCCACGTACGACCGGTAGTGGTTGCGCGGCAGCGAAACGTCGGTACTGCGTACCGGTATACTGCTGATGTCCCATCCACATGCCTCATTGACTTTTCCTTCGTAGTTACATTGGATATGGGATGTGTAGATCAGAAGATTACGTATTCGAGTCACGTCAGGGTCACCAGCTGTGTAGTGGGAAGGACTGCACAAAAGGCTGACGAAAAGCTCAGTAAGCTACGAAAACAGTTAAGCCGAAGTTTGGTTAATTCTGAATATCCGAAACTAATCGTATGCCTCGTTAAGCTACGCATTCCGAGACAGCGACGATTTCGCTCACCAGACACTGAGCAACAACGTCGGACAATCACGACGAACGCACGCGCAGACAGCCGAAGTGGTAGTGCGGAACGAAATTCGAAGAAGTATGCATCGGTCCAGCTAATTACAATAACTGTACACTAAATAGTGAAAGATGAAACTAGGAAGTATGATTGAAACATGTAGAAGTTTACAAGTGCTACAGATCTGTGGTTGGTGCGGCGCAAGCCACCCGTAGTCCCTCTGTGGGTGCAGGCGTGTTATGACTGTTCCATGGAGGTCGCGGTAACACACATATTCGGAATCGGATGCCACCAACTATTTAGCTCATATTCAGTGGAAGTACCGGATGAGCGCTACTGAATTTTGTCACTAGTTGACTGGTGACGCATTTGAATGTTCGTAGAGCATGTACCGCCCCTTATGTAATGTCATGTGCATAAATGGTAATCGACTGTCATTGTGTTTATTGCTTACCGATACTACATCCGTTGGTTTATACTACTTGATGATGTGGCCATTTGGTACTGTGTTGAAGAGCGCTAGAATGCTTGTGAAGGGAGTGGGTTTTGCCGATCCGCCTTATCTTCCTAAAAGTGAGTGCTTAAACACACTATTGGAAATTACACCATAACGGAATTGGTGACGTCCTTGCATTGGTTCCTTACGCTTGATTGATTGATTCCTTACGCTTGATTGCTCCACCCGACAATTGCACTTTTTCATCTTACTCGTGATTATTTGCTTATTACCGTTACTGTATTCATTAATTTGCCCATCTGGTACAAAACAATGATGCCCACCATATTTGGGTTTGTGAGACATGCTTAACCAAAACTGCATTCCAGTTGCTGATAACAAATAATCTTTGTCCCAGTCAGATTGTCAGCACTGCATTTACGTATGCATCTCTCTCCCCTAAAAACATTTTTATCGCTTTTCAGTCTTCTGTACGTACTTGTTCTGATGACCGTTTGGGTGCTAAACCGCAAAGCCATGTTCTATTTATTTACATCGTTCCTATTCTTCCTCATTGTTGTATTGTTTCTAGAGAACCTACCTCTTACATTGACTCTTTCAGCTGCTGTCCTCCTCTCTGTTGTCATGCTTCGCGTCCAAATTTTCCCTGACTCCTTTGGATACTAACTTTTAGTGCAACGTTGGGATTGACTGCAATCTAAATCCACTGAAACCCCAGCAGTGGATCACTTTATTGTAAGCCACTTGCTGCAATGAAGCTGACAGACGCTTGCCGTCGGCTGTATAAGCGTTCAACTATTAATTTTCCTTACATGGACCATTACAAATATGATTATTATCGTGAGCCCGTGCTTAAAGAAAAAGTTTCGGGAAGAGGCGAGAAGGAACCACGTATGTTGTCCAATAAAAATTTCATCGACTGTCTTGAACCATCTTTCTAGGGGCTGTTTGCGTTGAGGAAATGACCATGATGTTGAGCTGTTTAAAAAACAATGATTTCGACCAGAAACCGTGCACGCAACTGATTGAAGCATTTCAATCCTGTGTCACATTAGCAGAGGTAGAACAATGGTCCTTTTGTCATACCACTCGTTTTCAGCAAAGGAGGGCCAAAATCAAAGAACTGAAAAAGAGTGGTGTTTTCGAAAACGCAGATGATGTCATGGATTCCCCCAGGAAACGTCTTCCCGCTGCCCACGTAATCAAACTGCTAAAGCGCTTTCCCGAACCGAAATAGAATTAACGCTCCCTCTCCTGTATACATATATTGTTCTTTTTTGGTTGCTTTAATTTCATACCCGTGAAAATGGTTGGTAGGATCAATTTTGCACCATACAAGTATGGTTTTTTACAGTGACTGATCTTATTTTTTGGTTTGCTCATGAACGTGGAGTGGGAATATGTAAATCTGTGCTGCCCCATCGAAATTTTATCTGCTATACACGTGGAACAATGTTAATTCCCACGCTTTTTCGACACGTTCCAGCTGTACAATGTCCTGTGCAGATGCGGACTGTTTTCTAAACCTAAGATCGGTAAACTGAGTGTTTATGAATTTTTTCTGTATTCATATACCGATTTTGCCTCGGTTATTGTCCCTGACAAATTGTTCCGGTATTTCATCGCTCCGAGCCTACAGGATGATGAGTTGTTCGGTTTAGATCCCGTGCTGCATATTTTTACCGTTGTGCGCGCACATAGAGTAGTGGCACGGGGAAGTCAACCAGATGTACTTTCCGGTGGTTCATTTTGAGGTCAGCTGTAAACTGACGATAGGACATGGTTTATAGCCCTAGTCTCCTGTCTCGATCTTTTCACGCTAAACCCCATTGACTGGGATTGAGCCTGGTGTGTACACGTTGAACCCGTACATCCTTTTGCACCCCACCTCTGATAACAGACACTAAGCGCATAGGACGTAGTCTTGCATCGGTCTTATTATTGAAGAGAAGAGGTAAGTGGTAACCTTTTCAGACCAAGTGCAGAAGATGCGTTTTAGCGCCCAAAGCATGTACACTCCGTTTCGGCGAAACTATTCGTGTTGTTCACCTAATTCATATGGAGCGGTTGGCTGGCTGACCCATCACTATCTTCCCTCAAACTTATTAATAACGACTTGAGTGGCTTGATCTGCATACTGAACTCGGTAAACCACATGGAGAACCGGTCGATCTTGCGCGTCACAATTATCGCGAGCGTCAATTACCCCCACAACCTCCAGGTTTTTCACAGACAAAGCGACCGAAGAAGCTGACCTACTTCGTTGTTGGGGATGAAAAACAAAATGGGTCCCAGCACTCTTCTGTGGGATACACTTCTTAGTGGAGGGATACTATCCGGTTAGAGTGTCTTCAACCTGTACACCAAGATTTCTTCCAATAAGGAAAGTGAAAATTTACTGGCCTCTCTTTGTATCATCATCTAGTTATATTCCTGACGAACAAGTTGCTGTCGCCCATTCTCGTTTACCGTGCGCTGAATTTCCTCATGAATGTGGGTCAAGCAGGCTTTTCACCAGGATGACGCTGTATGTCTCTTTTTCTTTCAAATAAGATGCTAGATCGGCATCGACTATACCGCAGTTTGACATTTGTCATGTTCTTTACATTCGGCTGGGTCAATCGCTCCGTCATGTTCCATATACTTACTTAAAATTCCTTACAGTGAATTATGCAAGCGTCTTATTGGCTTCATACTCCCAACACAATGAATCGCATCGGGGTCTGTGACGGATTACCAGACGCCTCTCTAGCCGCAAGTCATTCCTTTATGTCGTACTATTTACTTTTTTCTATGTTCTTATTTGTGGAATCTGTATCGACTGTAAACAATTTGTTTATTTTTACGCTTCCATATTTCGCTGCAGTTCATGTGCAATTTTGTTTTAATTAACCATATATACAACAACGCGTCCAAGCTCGTCTTCGCAGAACTCTCCATTGGTTGCCACCGATTCGTTGTGATTGTGCGCTCCGCTGCCTGCCTGATCTATTGTTGAAATATACGTGCGTATACCTCGGCATAGCTTGCGATCTACCCTCGTCAGACGCTGAAGCGAATCAGGATATCTTTATGTGAGGTGAACGTAATCTTTAACTGCTTTGGTATTCTCATTTAACGGTTTTCTACAAGTCTCACGCCAGAGGTATGGAGTTGCTACTCGAGGGAAGACCGGTTGATGTGAGTATCTCAAACGGTATCTTCCTGTTTACCAATCACGGTAAGACGGCGAACCTTGAACCTACTCACCGTAGTAGTCCCGTGTGCTTCGCATCTCCAAAATGTTTCGTAATATCATATGACTACCAGCCACTTATAACCTACTGGTTCTTGACGACGAGAAGCTGACAGATATTTGATCACTACACCTACCTCAACTTTTGCATTGAGGGGCGAACGATCGCAGTAGTTAATTTATGTATTATGAAATCTATGGTCCTGGATAATATGCTGCATCTTTGGCTTCAAATGGGTATTTCTATTTGGCTTTAAGGCCATACATACAGGATTGCAGTAAAGTCTGCTATAGGTGGGAAGTTTGGTGCCTACAGGCATGCTCTTCGCTTAGTGAGAATGTTATGTTCTTGGTGTCCGTCAGTCAACCACAATTTCAACAGCACGGAAAGTGAGGGACAATCGAGCGAGTATGTAAAATACGACTCCATGTAGGAAAATCCCGAACGATTGATGTAGTACAGTGGAAATGTAAAGCGTCGTAGTTTAGGGTCAAATCAGTGACGAGCGGAAATGGAGGAAATAATAATTGTACTTAATAAGCATAACTGTTAAACGAATGGATAGTTTCGTTGGGAAGTAGCTTTTTTGACTCCTCCCCTTGGGGTTGGATGTTCGTACGACTGCTGTTGTAGATTCGATTGTATAAATACGCGTTACCGTCATCTTCAGTCAGCCCATCTAGGTGTGTAATCGAACGAAATTACTGATTTGGTGATTTTCCTGTGTTTCGTACCTCTGAGAACTCAAAGTATGCCGAAGAATGCCAATAGGAGGAACAGGGTCATGAAGCATCGTTGCTTGGCAGGGAGACGAACGCAACTGCTTGGCAGGGCAGACCCATAAGTGAAGATTGTATATCCACATCATAGACAACCTGCTTAGTACGGCGTATAGTCAGACCTTGCGTTCACTTTTCGGCACCATCCCAATAACCCTTAGCTAATACAGATCGCCCAACGTGAAACGTGCGATTCTTGGCACCGTGATGACGTTTGAATTGGTTTCGACAGATCGGCGGACCTGAGGCTGGATGGATGCCATTGACCGGTAAACGTAGCATTCAGTACATCAAAGCTTTTACCTAGGAGTTTCTACTTAATGATGATCTGTAACTCAGCAAGAATGTTTCAATGGTTTATGGTGTCAAAAGCGTAACGTTGTGTATCACCATAAATATATTAACCGGTCGTCTACCAAGTTTTCTGAAATGAAGATTTATGCTGTGTTTCTCTCCTTGTTGGACTTTAACAGCAATCGCTTGAAAACATCAATGGGATGTTCCACTTAGCCGTTGGATTGCGGGTGAAATGACGTCGATCGAAAGTGCTGGCTGTTGTTTTGTTCAATAAAGACCGAGAATCCTCTGAATGTGAACTCTGTGCCGTTGTCAGAGACTAGGGTGTGTGAAAGCCCAAAACAGCTAGACACATGCTATAGCCTTGAGATGGTATCGCGAGCTGTCATACGGTCCGCAGTCATTTACTGTAGGCATCAACCGGGAGCAACAGGTGATAGCCATTGATTGGTCCGGTATGATCATTGTGAATCCGTGACCACGAGATATTTGGCACCGGTCCTCAGCATGATTCCGTTTTTCAAGGAGATTCCGCAGACAGTTAAGCTTTCGAACAGGTTTGAACAAAATGATTTGATTGACTGGTAGCTCGGGTTGATCGATACTGGTTTCGCCTGTTTAGCGAGCTTCGTAATTGGTTTGCAAACGTTTCATCACCAAACGATGTGACTTCCTCAGTGCGCCTCTGTGTCAACTGCAATTCGCTGATTTATGATCAACCAGCAAGTGACTGTTGAATTGACCCCATCGATCTGTTCCCCGTGTTCTTCACTGGTCTGCCCAAGTTCTCTGATAGACACAGGCGATCTGTGAGATGGTTTTGCTCTAGCTATTGCGGTTGTGTTGTTGATGGCTTGATGGTTACGCACGACAGTTTTGAAGTTGTTTTAGTTCTCTCCACCTTAACGGTTAATAAACTGGGTCAATGCCGATGTGCATATTTATCGAGTGCTCCGCCGAGTATCATGCTTTGAGGAATTCCCTTTTCGTGTTTCTCCTTGTGCTAGGACTTCTGTGTTATTCTTATCGAAGCGACATCCTTCTTCGTCCGTATATAATGAAACCAGGTCTAGACCTGGAGCGCATGAAAGACGAATTGTTGTTTACAAGTTTGCGAAAAGAACTGTGTGCGTCAGATAGGAAAGCAACTATTAACAAGAATACAAGAGCATAAGACAGCCTGTAAGAACCACTACGCTCTCTTCCTGGTTTCATTATGTACGGACGAAGGACATCGCTTCGATTAGAATAACACAGAAGTCCTAGCACAAGGAGAAACACGAAAAGGGAATTCCTCGAAGCATGATACTCGGCGAAGCACTGGATAAATATGCACATCGGCATTGACCCAGTTTATCAACCGTTAAGATGGAGAGAACTAAAACGACTTCAAAACTGTCGTGCGCAACCAGACGAGCCATCAACAACAAACCGCAATAGCTAGAGCAAAACCATCTCACAGATCGCCCGTGTCTATCAGAGAACTTGGGCAGACGAATGAAGAACACGGTGCACAGATCGACGAGTTCAATTCAACAGTCACTTGCTGGTTGATCATAAATCAGCGGATTGTAGTTGACGCAGCGACGCACTGAGGAAGTCACATCGTTTGGTGATGAAACGTTTGCAAACCAATTACTAATCTCGGCGAACAAGTGGACCCAGGTTTGAACAAATTCTTTCAGGTGTTTATCCATGTTCGGTCAATACACATAGCTGCGGGCTAAAACATTTCGTGCTATTTGTTCCAGGGTGCCCCAGATGAAACTGCTTCAGAACACATTCCTGCGAATTCGTTGGTAGTACAAAACGTTCGGCAAAGATATACCTATCAACCTCGGCCAACAAGGACCGATGTTGGTGGTCAAAGTGCTCGCTGAGCTTTGCAATTTCTCTGTAAATGTTACATCCCTACTCGAGTGACATCATCACTGCGCTATTATGTAGCGGAGCGGTGCAGCGCAACGCGTTAGTGAATGAGGGTCATCGTTCGTTCGACGGGCACATGACCACCGAACTTGGTTCTTCTGACGCGTCTCTCGTGCCGTTAGCACGCGTATCTTTGTGGTTGACTCCAACGTGCATGTCCGGCTTTCCGTTAAAATTAATTAAGCTGGTTATCCTTCATCCGTGTTGCCATGTATATAGCATCTATATCAACGTGTCAATTGATTGAATTGACTGTTGAATGCCGCGCTTCCAGGAATTTTCTAGTCTGTTTCAATTTTCCAC